CCCCCTCAGCCCCCATCCCCCGCCTGCCCTGCCCCACTTCCCCCTCACCCCCCATCCCCTGGCCACCCCACTATCCCCCCACCCCTCAGCCCCCGCCCACCCCCACCTTCTCGTTGATCTCCCGCAGCTGCAGTGTCTGGGCCCTGGTGGCCAGCTCGCTCAGTGCCCGCCGATTGGCCGCACTCTGGCGGTTGAAGTTGTCTCTCCTCCGTGCCATCAGCTGCTCCGAGCGGCGCCGGGTGGCAGCTGAGTCACTCACAGCGCTGGGCACCGCCAGGCTGGAGGCACTGGCATCATGCTCAGCCGCCCGTGACTGGGCGTGGGACTGGCGGATGCTGTCGTAGGCACCTGGGGAGGAGCAGATGGGCAGCGTGAGACACCTACCCGGGGCAGGGAGCCTCCTGCTCCCTCGGCGCCAGCCCCCCACAGCCTCTATCCCGGGGGCCCCCGCTCCAGCCCCCCCGAACCCTCCAGCGCCAGCCCCCCCGAGCCTCTGCCCTCAGGGCCCCCTGGTGCCAGACCCCCCAGAGTCCCCCAGTGTGACTCCTGCCTCCTCAAAGCCCTCACCTCTGGGGGCCCCGGCGCCACCCTCCCCCCAAACCCCTGGGGCTCCTTGGTGCTGCCTGCAGGGAGACTCTTGCCCCCATGGTGCCAGCCCCAGAGCTCACTGCCAGGGCCCGGCTCACCCAGGAAGTTGGAGTTCTTGAGCAGGTGGAGCTGGCGTGCCAGGTCGTGCAGGGTGAGGTTGAGGCCACGGGCACCGCGGTCCAGGGTGCCCAGGGCGCGCTTGGCATTGTAGTTCTCGTCCTGTGCCGTGGTGAGCTCGCCCTCCAGCTGGGTCAGCGTCTCTGTGGCTTCGCCGATGTGCTGCCTGTGGGCAGGGCAGGGTGAGGCCCTGGGCACAGCGCCAGCCTCGCTCCTGCCCTCCCGACCCCGCCTGCGGGACGCCGATCTCTGCCTGGCCTGGGGCTCAGCCCGTGGCCCCGGCGTCCCTGCACCCCCGCTCACCGCAGTTCCTCCATGGTGCGCAGCAGCTGGGTCACAGCCGCCGCGGTGGCGTTGCGGGCGTCCACGATGGCCCGGGCCGTGCCCAGCTTCTCCTCCAGCTGGCGGAAGTTCCTCTCGAAGGCGCCTGCGACGCCCGTCTGCTGGATGTGTTTGGCACGCAGTGCCAGGCCCCGGATGCGGGCAGCCAGGTCCTGCACCACACGGTCCCAGTCCCCGAAGCACTGGTGGCAGGGCTGGCAGTCGGGGAAGTCGCCAGAGAAGCCGCGGGCGCACTGGTCGCAGCGGACGCCCGACACCCCCTGGCGGCAGGAGCAGTGCCCGGTGGCGCGGTGGCACTGGGAGCTCTCGACCCCGCGGGCGTCGCAGTCACAGGCTATGGAAAGCAGAGACACGTCAGCCTGGCACCCTCGCCTACCTCTCCCCAGTGCCTTGTGCACTTGGCCAGCAGGGAGCCCCCCGCCCCCACACTCACCTCGGCACTGTAGGCTGGGCTCGCCCCAGTGGTTCTCCTGGCAGTCGGTGCAGGTGCGGCCCCCGAAGCCCGGCTGGCACGGGCACTGCCCTGTGAACTGAAGACAGACACTGGCTATGGTCAGTGAATGCGAGTACACGTCGGTGCCACCCTGGGGGCAGGCCTGTAGGTGGAGGGGCAGGGGCAACTGTGATGAAGTGGGACTGTTCTTAATGTTTCCTCTGAATACTGTGTGGGTGCCTCAGTTTCCCCTATGTATTTCTGAAGTCTCTAGGGGGTGAGATTGTTGCAGAGCAAAGGGCCGACACTCTGTCTCCTGGCAACTAATGGCCGGGGCCCTTCCCCCCTGCAAGGTAATGCTAAAGGTGTTGGAGAACAAAGGAATCAGGTGACCTCCTGGCCCAGGAAAGGAACAAAGCCCAGAGATCGAGGGGCTGGAGGGTGAGTCAGTTTGGGGCTGGCTGGGGACGTGGAGTGAGTACAGACGTGGGTGTCTGGCTCGCTGGGCCCCAGAATGGACCTGGCTGAGGGATCCGGTTCGCTGTACCTACAAGCTCTGTTTTAGACCATGTTCCTGTCATCGAATAAACCTCTGTTTTACCGGCTGGCCAAGAGTCACGTCTGACTGCGGAGTTGGGGGGGCAGGATCCTCTGGCTGCCCCAAGACCCCACCCAGCTGGACTCGCTGTGGGAAGCGCACGGAGGGGCAGGGGAGGCTGGATGCTCCGAGCTCAGACCCAGGAAAGTGAAGCCGCGTGAGCTTCTTGCCCGGGGACAGTCTGCTCCGAGAGAGGAGGCTCCCCCAGAGTTCTACCCAGCTTCGTAGGGAGCAGTTCCAGAGCATCGCCCGGGTGCGTGACAGCAACTCAGCCAGGGGGCGGGGGGAATGGACCTTCTCAGCTAGGGGTCCCATCACCTCGCCTCCTCCGGGTGCCAAGGTCTCTTCATCATACCAGCCCCTCACCCATTCCAGGCCCCGTCCCCCCTGCCCCAAACCCTCTGACAACGTGGGACTATTTGGTCATTTTTATGAGGCCTGTCTGTGCCTCGGTTTCCCCGCGGTGCTGCCTGGCTCCCCAGTGGGTGGGGAAGGGCTGATTGCTCTCAGGGTAGGGGAAGCAACATGGCCATCTGGGCCTTGCTCCCCATGTCACTGGGGCATCTGAAAAGACACTGGCGACTCCACTCGCCAGGACGTTGGCACCGAGCACCCAATGCCCCAGAGGGACCTGAGCTCCCTGCCTCCCCTGGGGGGGCTGAACAATCCCCAGCTGAGATCAAGCACTGGGGGGGAAGAGCTGGGGGCTGGCAAGAGCCCCGGATGCCATGCAGGGAAGAGGAAGTCCCATCCTCCCCAGCCCAGCCGGGACTAGCAGCTGAGCCCAGTGCAAGGTAAGAGCCACCAGCGGGGTCTTCCCCAGTCCCGCTCCCTGCCCCATGGTGATTTACCTCTCTGCTGGCTGCCCTGGGTACCCAAAACATATTGCTGGGGAGGGTCACATGACTGCTCTTGTGGCTTCTCTTTGCTTCCCCATCAGAAAGTCATTTTTCTGCGGGGAAGCAAAGAAATCTGCAGGGAACATAAATTCTGTGCATGCGCAATGGCACAGAATTCCACCAGGAGTAAAACCTGGGGCCGAAGCCCTGCTTCTGGGAGCCATGACACTCCTCTGCCCTGCCCTGCCTCCCGCCCCCTCCCCAGCCCAGCACCCCTCGCCCCTTCCCCCCGCTGGTTCTCACCTGGTTGCAGGCTGGGCCCAGCGAGTGCTGGGGGTGGCAGGCACAGGGCTCACAGCCCTTCCCACTGGCCAGGTTCCAGAAGTTGGGGGCGCAGCGGTCACAGCTCTGCCCCTGGATGC